GGGCAGGAGCGCGGCGTGCGGCATGGGGAGGTTTGGGGGTGTTCGGAGCGCGGGCCCCACTCCGGGTGGAGAAGCGCGGGCTCCCGGGGTGCTGGCATTTGGGGGGGCTCCAGTGGGTCCGGATGAGGCCGCAAGGACGGGAGCCTTAGGACATCCTCCCACAGCTCCCGGTGCCACGTGAGGAGGCCCCAGAAGGGTCCCCCCAGGACCCGGCCACGCAGGCACCCCGACCTCAGACTCCCGGGCTCTGGGGCCGCCAGAAACAGCGGTCACGTGGGGGCTCCAGCCTGCGGCCCTGTGCTCACCGGGAGTCCCCTCGGGTGCTTCCCTTGGCCCTGAGCACCCCATGGGTTAGGAGGGCGAGCTCTGTGGCCTCCTGGATGTGCAGGACGCGGGGTCCCCCTGGAGGATGGCCCTGGAGACACGACGTAGGGGAAGGGAGCATCCAGGCTGCCACTAGACGGCGTCCCCGTGGCCTATGTGCAGCCGTGCACTGTGGTGTCTGCCATCTCGGGCGCCGCCGGACCTGCCAGATACCTCGTTGCGGGGGGACAGGCTGCCAGTGACCCTCTGGCCGAGCAGGACCGCCGGTGTTAGGTGTCGCCATGCCCAGGCCATGCTCAGGGGCCCCGGCATCTCGCCATACGTGTCTCCAGGTATCCCCGGGGAGATTAGCACTGGGTGGGGCGAGGGTGGCCCCCGGGGTGGGCCTCGCAATCAGCGGAGGCCCCAGTGGTGCAGCGGAGCTTCCCTGAATGACGGGGTCCCGGCGTCTCCAGGGCACTGGCGGCCTCTCCACAGAGACACGGGAACACGGGCTCCGCGGTTGTCGGGCCTGTGGGTTCCCCAGTGCGGGGAGCAGCTCCAAGGCTGGGCGTCCCTGACGACCCGACCACACATGGACACGGACGGGCTCCCCTCACCTGCCTCTGTGCTCAGCCTGGGCCCGGGCGGGGGGCACTGTCGGGGCCGAGGGGGCACAGCCGCTCAGACCGAGGCAGGGAGGAGCGCGGTGCCTCCAGGGGCCTCCCCCGCGGGCTCTGATGCGGGAGTGCCCGGACGGCGCCCCTAAATCCAGCAAGACGCTAACTGGGCCTGAGGTTGCTTCATGGAGGTAAACGTTCGGAGAAGGAAACGCTCAAGTCCACTTGCTGGGTGGGAACAAGGAGGCCCGCTGCACAGTCGGAGCCCCGTGCGGCTCGTTCCCCCGAGGCAGCGGCGTCCCCACGGCCCCACCGCAGAGGAGCTTCCTGGAAGGGAGTCGGAGGCTCCGTCCCTGCACACGGACGAGGCTGAGCCCCGCTGAGCCCCCTCCCCGCTCGCCATGTGCAGCCCCACCTCCTCCAGTCCCTGGGGGCGCAGCCTGGGGGGTACAAGGTATCCACGGGGGCTGGAGCGAGCGTCAGGCCATGCGAAAAGTTTCAAGGAATAGTGGTTTTATAGCGGGTTTAGCCCTTATTATAGGGCCACAGGGAACGGATACCCCCCCTGCCCATAGTGCGGGGGGCAGGGGGAGACACTGGGGTGTGGGGGGAGGACGGCCTGACCCTCCCCCAGGGCCGGGGTCCAAGGAGGCCCCCAGGCCGCGCACCCCCCGCGGGACAGCTGCCCGCCATCCTGGGCCCTCCGTAGGGGAGAAGACCCCAAACCACACCTGCAGTAGGAAAAGGAGTATTTACAGACGATAAGAAACGGCAGCAAATCCTAGAGCTCAGCTTGCTGGCCGCGGGGATGTCAGGGAACCCAGGCGGAAGGAAAGAACATGGTCGTCTGCAAATTACGATTATTGACGATCTGCTGCCGATCTCCTGGTTATTGATCCGTGTCCCCTGCCCCACACGCCGCGGCCGTGGTTCCCTTATCTCCTCCCACGCTAATGATTCCCCGTCGGGGCTCCTCTGCAGGGAGAGGAGCGAGGCCTGTGTCGTGTTCTGCAGGCACCTGGGGCCCTACTGGCGTCTCCCCGTCATGGTGTCAGCACCTGCTCCCTCGGGCTTCTCTGCTGGGTGCCTTGAGGTGGCATCTGACAGGGGGACGGCCGGGGGGTCTTCTGAGGGGTCCGGGCAGCCCCCACCCCAACTGCCCCGCTGTGTGCCGCCCCAGGCACACCCGGCAGCTGCCTCAGTGCCTCCGCAGCCTGCACACCCCCGCCCTACACCCCCTGGCCCTATACTCCTGTCCCCTGCCCTACACACCCCGCCCTACACCCCCCTACACCCTCCTGCCCTACACCCCCCTGCCCTACATCCCCCTTACACCCCCCTACACCTCCCCCCGCCTATCTACCCTCCCCCCATCTACCCTCCCCCCACAGGGGCAGGTACTGATCACACACTCCTCGCTGCTTTGCATTATGGCTCTGACGAGACCTGGTGCCCTCTCTCGTTCTTCACCGTGCTAATCGAGCAAAAAGCAACAGCAGGTAACTGTGTTGGGGGTTAGTCCTAAAGATATTTTGAGAACTGTGTTTCCATAGAATTCACTGATTTTCATGTGGTTCTGAGGAAGCCTCCCTAGGCCTTTGCAGACGTGGGGGCCCTGGACCCGATGAGAGCGGGAGTGACCGGGCGTCAGACCTGCCTGGGTCGCCGGCTGCTGCCCACAGCTTCATGCGCTGTCCCCCAAGCCAAGCTTTGTCCCCTCAGCACGATCGGCTTGTGGGGCGCGAGGGCTGTCCCGGGCTCGGGAGAAGCCCACCCCACTCGCGGTGTGCTGTTCCCCGAGAGCCGAGAGCGGACCGCGATGACGCCTGCATGCCCAGGTCTCAGTGAGGCTGTTTGCAAAATCCCGTTCTGGTTGGGACGCCGGATTTCAGTCACCAGGGGCTGGCCTCACGCCTGAGGTCCCCCAAGAGGCCCCTCGCAGCTATGGGGAGGGGGATCCCACCCGGGTGGGGAAGGAACAGGGGTCCTGGATGCCCGAGAGGAGTGCATGAGCCCTGAGGCCCCGGGGACGGAGACGGGGTTCAGGGGAAACAGGCCCCAAGGAGGATGGGGGTCTCTGGGTTCCTCGGGCGTCAGGAGTTAAAGATGGCAAGAGCGAGTGTTCACGGGGCCTCCACGGCCCGTGACTCCCGACAAGAAACCGAGGCCCGGCCCTTCACAGCCTTGCCCTACGAAGCAGGACGGGAGGCTAAGCCCCGGATGTGGCCTGATGGGGCCTGGGGGCTGCCCGAGCCTGCCGTGAGGTCCCCCGGCCACGCCCACGCCAGGTGGGGAGGGCAGGGCCGTGGCCGTGGGTGGGAGGGCACCCAGGCTGCGGGGAAGGCCCAGGGGGAAGAACCAGTAAGGCCAGACTAACCTCATTCTTTATGGCTTTGCCCCGGATGCTGTGGGGAGGAGGGCACAGGGAGTGCTACGTTGTCCGGGGATCTCCGGGGAAGATGCACTGGGGTGAGTTGCCCAGGCCCCGGGGCGCTGCCTCCTGGCAGGTGGAAGGGTGTGCAACCCCAGGCGGGCTCAGCCTCCCGTCGGGAACTGCAGGCCAGCAGCTCGCGCCTCAACGTGTCCTCCTCGCGAGGCCCGGGTCCCCTCGGGTCCCATCAGGTCCCACGCACCCACTCACTTCCTGAAACCTGTGCTGTGGCCCTCAGCTTTAGGGCAGCAGGTGTCAGGTGTCGCTCACCTGACCCTGGAGTGGGGGGGGCAGGGAAGGGAACCGGATCACAACCCCCCTGACCTCTCGCCTTCTCCATCCCCCTGGCAGGATGTCTGCCGAGTCCTGGAGCTTTCTAGTTTCTGGCCGGTCCTCCTCCCGCAAAAGCCTCCACGCATGCTGCTCAGTGACAAGGCCGCATCGTGAGCTTCCGGCCTCTGCGAAGGAAGCCGGCGGTGGCCACGGGTTCGGGGACGGAGGGAGGGGGAGGTGGACGCGGGGCCTCTCCCTTCCCGGCCCTGCGCGGGGCTGGAACCCTGGACCCAGCGCCTTGAGTGTGGGCCTGGCCTTCACCGCCCTGGGGACGTGCGGACCCCCGTGCTTTATTTATTTTTATTTTATTTTATTTTATTATTTATTTTATTATTTATTTATTTATTTATTTATTTATTTATTTATTTTATTTTATTTTTATTTTATTTTATTTATTTATATTTATTTTTAGTTTTTTTTTTTCCGTGCTTTAAATCCTGGAGAGACTACACCAGCGGTGGGGGGGGGGGCGCTGCAGGGCCTGCAGTCTTGGGGAAGGAGGTTGCCCGCCCTCCCTGAGCAGAAGCTTCTGGAGCAGAGGGGCGGACACCTCTCTGCCCAGAGGGCCCGACATAGAAGCCGGGGAGGGGGTCTGCCACCGCCATCCTTGGGGGCCGCGGGGACACCGGCAGGTGCGCGGCGCCTGCAAATTCCCCCCATGATGCCCTGACTCACGCTTGGCGGGAGGGGTGAGGCCTGCCGGGTGCAGGGAGCATGCCCGGAGGTAACTGTCCTCCTCACCGCGGGCCAGCGACCGAGGCCAGGACGGGGGTGGGGGGTGGGAGGCACCTCTCTCGTTCCCACTCGGGGATGGAGGCCCCAGGAGGCAACCCGCGTCCAGATGCACAGCCCAGATTGGAAGTCAGGAGGCGGCTGTGGCGGAGCCATGCTGTCCCCTGGCACTGCCCCGTGGGGACCCAGTCCTGGGGCCGGGGGAGCTGGAGGGCGTCTGCACCCCACAGGCCGTGGCCCCTGAGCCCCTGCATCCACCTCCCGGCTTCTCAGGCCGCAGCCTGCGGGGTGGCCAGGGAGCAGGAGGCGGACTTGTGCAGCTACTGGGCTCGGGCCAGGGGAGGGGCGGCTGTGGAGACCCCGCGCCAGCAAATCTGACTCTGCAGGCAACTCAGCGTGTATTTGAGGAGATTTCAAGACTCGGAAAACATTCTCATCAATCTGTTCCTCGGGAACAGCCCCCGGGGAGCCCAGGGAGTCCACGCGGCAGGAGCCCTGGAGCGGGAGGGGGGCCATCTGGGCCGGGGGCCGGCCTGTGGACTCTGCGGACGGAATGGAAAGAAAAAGATTCCAGCCTCATACTTTATTTGGAGGAGGAGCACGTTTACAGAAACAATTTCTGTTTTGGAAAATAAACGTATGGCTGCATTCTGGGGGTGGGGTAGCAGACGACCGGCGGGGCTCGCGTGATGGACGCCGGACACTGTGCCTGTGGCCGTCTCCGCCGGGTCATGTCCGAGCACGGCCAAGCGCCCACGAAGTCAGGAGACAGGAGCCCGGTCCGCGTGCCATTGGGCCCACGACACGGATTCCGACCGGTTTCGGCAAAGGCAGGCTCAGAGGAACCGCACTTGGGGATGGTCGGCCCGCGCCCCGCCATCGAGTACCGCGTCCCGGGGACGGGCCTGCGCCCGGGCACCCGGAGCCGTTCACCCGGAGGCCGCGCCGCAGGGAGCAGACCCGGGGTGAATTGGTGAGGGACATGGGGGCGGCGGGAGGTGCCCTCAGCTCAAGTCCCGGGTGCGGATTCAGCGGAGGTGAGTGGAGCCCCCCCGGGAGCGCCAGGCCCCTCTGCACCCACTGCCTGCGAGGTTGTGGGAACCGCCGCCAGCACGTGCCAGCCGCAGAGTCAGGCCAGGAGCAGGGGCGCGTCTCGGTCCCGGGCACGGAGCTGCAGACCCTGCGCCCCTGCTCCGTGCCCCTGGGCCTTGCTCGCAGGTGCTCGGTCCCCGGAGGGTGGGGGTCCTCGCGGATCTGCTGGCTACGGGTCGTCTTCCATCAGTGGGATCTCTGTGGAGGGAGACACGGTCACCCGCTCAGCTGCGAGGACCGGGCCTCGGCGCTTCGGGGACATGAATACAGTCCACGTCGCCCGGGAGCAGAAGACGACGTCTGGTTCCGCACGTGCGACAATAATCACGCGGCGGCTCCCCCGTGCCAGGCTCTCCTGGGAAATCTCCCGTCTGGCTCGGGGCAGGTGGACTGGGAACACTTAGGCCTGCGCCCTCGGGGTCAAGCCGGACGAAGGCAGAGTCGCAGGCAGGCGGGTGGGCAGGTGGGGAGCCCCCCGGCACCCTCTCCACCGCGAGCCGGAGCGGCCCTTCCTGCGCCAGGCGCACACCTGTTACTCCCCACCTGCCGGCAGTGCCCTGTGTGCCCACGGCGTCTCCAGGGCGGTCTCCTGCAGGTGTGCGGGGACCCCGTCTCTGAGCATGCCCCGAGCCCCCCGAGGGCACCCTGCCTCACCTGGATGCTGCAAAGCCCAGCCCGGTCCTCTGCAGCCTCCCTGTTCTGGCCGCTGTGGCGCCTCCTGAAATCTCAGTTCCGGGCTCACCGCGGGGACGGGGCGGCCTCACCCGTGTCCTCGCCCGTGGGGGGGAGCGGTGAGAGGTTCAGGCGCGGAAGGGGCGGGGGGCAAATACTCACCGTCTGCGATGTTGATGCCTGGGCTGGTGGACGCCGCCTCTCCCACCGAGCCAGCACCCGTGTCCACGCTGCCGGGGCGTGGGCCCCCGTGGCCCCCGGAAGGCGGGTACAGACTCTGGAGCAGCTCAGAAGGGCCCGAGCTGCTGTCACAGGGTTCGGACGTCCCTGGGCCCGTGTCCGTGTCCCCTGCGCCGGGGTATGCAGGGGGGCTCTGGTCGTCCACAGGCAAAGGGCAGCCCCAGCCCACGGCGGCCAGGTACCCGGGGCCCGAGGCCCCCAACCCTCCGCTCACAGCCTCGTCGTAGGACGGAAGCATGACCGGCACCCCGTCCACCACGACGAAGTCTGGGTCGCTGCTGGAGCTCCGGGGAGGTCCCCTGTGCAAAGAGAAGCAGCGCCCACAGGTGAGGGAGCTGGCCACCCCAGGGCGAAGTCCCCAGGGTGAGGTCCCCAGAGCCAGGTCCCCAGGGCCCACAGGGGAAGGGGCTCCTCTGGCGGCCGGGGCGCTGAACACGGCAGTCACGCTCGGCAGGCAGGCGGCGTCCCTCCTCCGTGTTGGGTCCTGCACCCCCAGTGTCCCTGGGAGGATAACGTGGGGCGGGAGCTGGTGCGCTGGAGCCCGGGAGCATCTGGGGAACAAGGTTGCCCGGGGAAGACTGGGGGCTCGGTGTTTGCAAGCCCCGCCGTGACCCCAGGCCCTCCTGCAGCCCCGTCACTACCAGGATGGAGCGTGGTGCTGGCCAAGAGGTTGCGACGGGAGGCCGGGAGGCCTGGCAGCAAGGGGACGGGAAGTCGGCGCTTCCACCTGCTGCGACCTGAGGGCAACCTGAGGCCGGAAGGGTGGGGGTGGGGGGTCCAGGGAAGGGGCTGCCCCGCCTGGATGCCTCGCCGCGGGCCTTGTCCACTCCCAACACCAGCACCCTGTTTCCGGGGTGGCCGGCCCCGCCAGGCTGACACGGGTCCTTTCCGAAGCTCGAGGTGTCATGGGGAGGCCCACGCGGGTCGGAGCCCGAGGACACGCAGCAGCCCCTGAGCCTGCCAGCACCCGGCCCCCCCACCTGGTTCTCGGGCCAATGAGCAGCCAAGGCTTCGTGCCGGAGGCCCTGCTGTTCCTCCTCTTCCGTGAGGACCCGGGGGAGGTCGGAGGCGTCAGCACAGGGTGCGCCCAGGTGGGGGGGGGGGCGCAGGTCCTGCCCCTCCCACCCCCTCCCCAGCCCCCCTCCTTCCCAGCACGTCCCTGGCAGGTGTGTGAACCTCTGCTGGGTCTCACACCTTCGGCCTGTCTCCTCGTGCGTTCCCAGAACCTCTCATCCCTGCCGTGGGCCCCACATGTGTGAGGGCAACGGGAACGGGGCCTGAGCCCTTCTGCAGGGGCTCACTGGTAGGTGAGGAGGAGGCGGCGCCCGTGCAGCCGTGCCCTGAACCCCACACCCCGTGCCCCACCCACCCACCTGACCCGCCTGCATGCCCTCAGCACCTCCACCACCAGCCGCTCGGAGCCCCCCAGGCACCCGCCCGCCGCGCACCTGGTGGGAAAGTGGGTCTTGAACTTGGTCTGGAACATCCTGGCCAGGATGACGAGCAGCAGCACCAGCAGCACGCTGGTCGCCGTGAACGCCACGATCTTCCACGTGGTCAGGAGGGTCTCGTGGGGGCTGGGCCACGTTTGCTCTGCGGGGGGGCGGGGGGTGAGGCCCCACCCTGGGATGGCCGTGGCCCGGTGCTGGGTGGATCGGGCGAGGAGATGCCCATCCCGTGCCCCGGGGCCCTGAGAGGCTGGAGCTTCTTGCCATCAGGACCGGCACCTGCTCCACATGGTGCATGGAAACACACCCGCTTCTCTGGGGGAGGACGGGGTCCCCTCCCTGGGGTGCTATGCCCTGCAGGGCGGGGGAGTGGCCTGGGGTGCTTGGCAGTGCTGAGGAACGGGGGGGGGTAAGGGGATGAGCACTCGGAGCCCCTCATCCCCAGTGCACCTGCCAGCGGGGGTCCCAGCCCTCGGGTCCAGGCCGCCCCAGAGCCTCCAGGTGCCACGTCAACACACAGGTCCCCACAGACAGTGGCGGGGGGCAGAGGGCTCGGGGATCACCACTGCCTTGTCAGGGGGCTGCAGGGCGAGTGGGCAGGGCCAGCTGCACCGGACTTGGCGGGTGCAGGTGCAGGTGCGGGTGCAGGGGCAGGGGCCCCGCTCTGCGTCCCAGGTCCCCGCCCGGGCTCACCTGACTTGATGCAGTAGACCTGGTAGGAAGGAAACCACTCCCCGTACTGGCACGTGATGTACTTGTAGTCGCTGGTGAGGCTGTAGCCGGGGTCGCAGTAGAACTCCAGTACGGTCCCGTGGCTGTAGTGCTCGCAAGGCCGCGGGTGGCAGATGAAGTCGCCGTGACTCACCGTGGGGGGCAGCGGACACACTGGGGCAGCAGGGGAGGGAGCGGCCGCCTCAGAAGGTCACCCGGGGTCACAGCCCCGGCGGGAAGGTGCACCCGTGCCCAGGGCAGCCCCTCCCTCGGCGCACCCGCTGCCGCCCGGGGAGCACGGCGGGCCCCACACGGTCCCAGGCCATCGGGCAGGGAGCTGCTCACGCGGCCGAGGCCTGCTTAACCGCCGCACGAGCTGCCATGGGGACAGGCCACCTTGTGAGGCCGGCGCCCCCAGGGTTCAGCCCACGGCCGAGGCACGGGTGCTGCGGGGTGCATGCAGACCCGGAGCCGGCGACGGCAGGAGGAGCCCGCGGCCGTGGCCCGGTCCCCCACCCCCAGACGGAAGCTCAGTCTGGGGCGCCTCCCACCTGCGGTTCTGACATTTCAGGGGGAGAAACTTCCTTTTTGGTTTCCTCTCAGGCCGCAGATGGGTCAGCGATGCTCAAAGGCGCCCGAGACTCAGAGCACCACACGGTCTTACGTCTCCATCCCACCTCACCCCTGCCAACCACCCACATGTGCCCTGAATCCGCGGCCCTGGGGCTCGTTTCTGTTTTGTTAGGTCCCACGTTGGAGTGAAGTCACGCGGTAGCTGCCACTGACACGTCACTCAGCACCGCACCCTCGGGGTCCACCCACGTGGTCACAAATGGCACGACCTCATTCCTAACCCCACGCGAGCAACATCCTGCGTGTTTGTACCACTTCTTCGTCATCCGTTTACCCCCTGGTGCGCCCCCGGGCTGCTCCCGGACCTCGGCTGCTGTGGGTAGCGCTGCCGCCAACACGGGCGCCCGTGTCCCTTCGGATCAGTGGTTTCACTTGTTTTGGGTAAATACCCAGTCGCGGGATCACAGGGTCGCAGGGCAGCCCTATCTCCAGCTTCTCGAGGCCCGTCCCCACTTCCCCACAGAGGCTGCGGCGGCAGCCCGCGTGCCCACCAGCAGGTAAGAGGTTCCCCAGCTCCGCGTCCTCTCCTCCTGGGGTCTCCTGGCCTTGATTCGAGCCACTGTGACAGGTGCGAGCTGGGATCTCATGGCGCTTCTGGTTTGCGTCTCCCTGATGCTGAGGGATGCTGAGCGCCGTCTCCGGAGCCCGCGGGCGGCCCGGATCAGCGGGCTGATACCGTGATGAGGGTTCGCACGTGACCGGGCACCAGGGACACTGGCCTGCCACGCCCTTGTCTGGTTTTGGGATCCGGGGAACACAGGCCTCGTAAGACGAGTTTGGAAGCATCTCCTCCTCTTCACGTTTTTTGGAAGAGTTGAGAACAGGTATTAAATCTTTGAGGGACACCCGGGTGGTTCAGTGGTGGAGCATCTGCCTTCGGCCCAGGGCGTGACCCCAGAGTCCTGGGATCGAGTCCTGCGTCGGGCTCCCTGCATGGAGCCTGCGTCTCCCTCTGCCTGTATCTCTGCCTCTCTCTCTCTCTCTCTCTGTGTGTGTCTATCATGAATAAATAAATAAAATATTTTTTTAAAAAGATTTATTTATTTATTTAACAGAGAGAGACAGACAGAGACAGAGAGCACGCACGAACAGAGGGACAGGCAGAGGGAGACGCAGGCTCCATGCAGGGAGCCCAATGTGGGACTCGATCCCGGGACTTCAGGATCGCCCCCTGGGCTGAAGGCGGTGCCAAACCGCTGAGCCCCCTGGGCGTCCCAATCTGCCACTTTTTGATGGAAATTTCTGTACGTGTCTGTTAAGTCCATGTGGTATAAGGTGTCATTTGAGGCCGATGTTTCCTTCTTGATTTCCTGTCCTTTCCTTAGTATCTACCCATCGATGCAAGGGGGGTAATAAATGGTGTCTCCTTGGGTCTGTTAGTATTTGCTTCTCGCATCTGGGTGCTCCTGTGTCGGGTACAAATGTGGCCGTTGTATCTTCTTGCTGGACTGGCACCGTTATCATTGCATACGAAGGAAAGGACCCTTCATGGTCTGCTGTCGAGTCTTTGGTTTAAAGTCTCTGCCAGAAGCGTTGCTCCCCGGCCCTTCTGCTTACTTCCAAATATTTTTTTTAATTTATTTATTCATGAGAGACAGAGACAGAGAGAGTGAGGCAGAGACACAGGCAGAGGGAGAAGCAGGCTCCATGCAGGGAGCCCGACGTGGGACTCGATCCCGGGTCTCCAGGATCATGCCCCGGGGCCAAAGGTGGTGCTAAACTGTTGAGCCACCCAGGCTGCCCCCTTCTGCTCACTTCCACGGCTCGGGATGTCTTTCCATCCCTTCCCTTCCCACCTCTGTCCTTACTTCTGAAGTGAGTCCTCTGTAGGCAGCAGAGACACGAGCCTCTTGCTTCAACCCACCCAACCACTCCCTGTCTTCTGACAGGAGAATTTAGTCCATTTACACTTAGAGTAATTATCAACAGGCATCTACTTATTGCCATTTTGTTCCTTGCTTCCTGGCTGCTCCGTAGTTCCTCTGCTCCTTTCGTCTCTTTCTCTCCTCCCTTGTGGTTTGATAACCGTCTTCAGTGTTGGGTTTGGATCCCATTCTCATTTTCCTGTGTCTTTACTATACATTCTTGGTTTGTGGTTACCATGAGGTTCACATACATCATCCCATATTGAAAACAGTCTATCCTAAGATCGTAGCAACTTAATTTGGTTTTTTTTTTACTTTTTTTGTTTATTTTTTAAAAAGATTTATTTATTTATGATAGACATAGAGAGAGAGAGCCTGAGAGGCAGAGACACAGGAGGAGGGAGAAGCAGGCTCCACGCCGGGAGCCCGACACGGGATTCGATCCCGGGAATCCAGGATCCCGCCCTGGGCCAAAGGCATACGCTAAACTGCTGAGCCACCCAGGGATCCCCTGTTTTTTTAATTTTTTAATTTTTAATTTAATTAATTTATTTACTTTTTTTACTTTTTTTAAACTTAATTTGAATGCATTCAAAAACACTACATTTTTACTCCCCCCCCCAGTTTATCTTCTCTGTCACATTTTACATCTCTTTATGTGCCCCCAAATTAATCAATGTAGTTATAGTTAATTTTGCTAGTTTTGTCTTTTAACTTTAAAAATTAGCTTTATAAGTGACTAAGCTGCTGCCTCAACTGCCCTTTCAAGTGAGGTTTTTTACTTCCATATTTTTTTGTTATTAATTAGTCGCATTTCTTTTCAGCTTAAAGATGTCCTGTTACATTTCTTTAAGGCCAGTTTAGTAGCGATGAATTCCTTCAGCTTTTGTCTAGAAAAGTGTTTCTCTCTCCTCTGATTCTTTTTTTTTAAGATTTTATTTATTCATAAGAGACACAGAGAGAGAGGGGCAGAGACACAGACAGAGGGAGAAGCAGGCTCCACACAGGGAGCCTGATGTGGGACTTGATCCTGGGACTCCAGGATCATGCCTTGGACTGGAGGCAGGCGCTAAACCGCTGAGCCACCCAAGGATCCCCCTTTCCTCTGATTCTGAATGATGACCTCACAGGGGAGCGTATTCTTGGTTGGTGGTTTTCTCCCCTCGGCACTTCGAATGCGTCCTGCTGCTCCCTCCTGCCTTGCAGAGTTTCTGCTGAGAAATGTGCTGAGAGCCTGTGGGTTTACCTTCCATGTAATAAGTTGTTTCTCTCTTGCTGCTTTAGAGATTCTCTAACTTTTGACATTTTAATTATAATGTGTCTTGAGGTGGATCTCTTTCGATTCATCTAATTTGGCCCTCCCTGGGTTTCCTGGATGTGCATGTCTGTTTCCTTCCCAGATTAAGGAAATTTTTGGCCATTATATCTGCAAATAATTTTCCTGCCCCCCCCCGGGACCCCTGGAATGTGAATGTCATTCCACTCAACGTTGTCCCAGAGGTCCCTTATGTTATCTTCATTTGTAAAACCCCTTTTTTTCTCTTTGCTACTCTGTCTGGGTGAGTTCCATTGCTTTGTCTTCCTGCTCCCTGACTTATTCTTCTGTTTCATCCAGCAGTTGAGCCCCCCTGGTGTATTTCTCACTTTAGTTTTTTCATTCTCGGGCTCTGTGACTTCTGTTTGGTACTTTATTGTTTTCTGTCGCTGTGTTCGTTCAGTCTTCTGAGTTCGGTGAGTATCTCTGTGACCATGACTTTGAATTCTTTGCAAGGAGGATTACTTATCCCTGTTATCATTAAGATCTTTGTCTGAGGTTTCGTCTTGCTTTTTCGTTTGAAACACATTTCTCCGTGTCTTCATTTTGCTTGACGCTTTGTGTTTGTTTTTACGTGTTAGGCCCAACAGTTACTTCTCTCATGCTTAAAGGAGTGACATTTGGAGGCAGTGAAACTTCTCATTCATCCTGCCCTAGCCCTTGGTTGTCTCTGGAGCCTTTGTGATTGTTTGAACTGCCTGATTTTTTGGTGATATGCTCCCGTTGAAGGTGTGCCAAGGCCTGTCAGTATTCCAAGAGGAAGGATCTCATGTAGTACCTTGCTTTAGGCTCACTGGAAGCCAGTCCCCAGGCAGCAGCTTTTAAAGTGTGCAAATACATACAGTCCTCTGGGGCCACAATCATAACCCTTGCTGGTCTCTGGACCAGGCTATATGGAGGTATCCCCTGGATGGCACTGCGGAACTTGGTCCTTTCTAGATTTGAACCCATCTTTTTCCATGATATTTACTGAAAGAAGGACTTCTGGTTAAAGGATCTAGGCCTCTAACTTCACAGTGGTAGACCAAAGAGTCTTTGAGTGTGGAAGGAGGCATCACAACCAAGGATCCCCAGGTCCAAGTCTGCGCTTCACCCCTCCATCCTCCCAGTGCTCGCTACCTGCCTCAACAATGCAGACCTGTGACCTCTGTGGTTAACCTGCTCCCATGAATGCCTGCCACAAGATTCCTACCACCCCGAGCTACTCCCCAGGCATCTGAGAACATGACTGTGAGAATGTTCTGGCTACTTCAGGCCCTCGATGGTTCTTCTCCAGGTAGAGAGAGAGCCCTTCTCTGCAGCCTCTACGCCCTGGATCCCTTGTAGCCCCAAGGAGGGCATGTAGTCCCCCTGCAAGTATTGTTGCACAGGTGATTCACATGCTTATCCTTACGCCCCTAGACGTCCTTCCATGTTCCTATCCTTCAAACCACTGGGCTGCATCCTTACCCTGAGCCACACGGCCTAGGCTAACGGGCCCTAGAGAGCTTCAAAATGCACAGCCATCCGTATGAGTGAGATGTTCAGGCTCCTTTCCTCCCAAAGCTCAAGTGGAGATAGAAAACATGGTTCCGTCTGGTCTCTGGGAGAAAGAAATAAAACTCCAGCAAACCCCAGGTGGAAATTTTCATTTTATGATCATGGTATCACCTACGAGAATGGTCCTTCCATCTTCCCAAGGTCATAAACACTCTGTGCCCCTTGGTAAAGGCAGCTGCACACCAACGCAGGTGCCATCTGCAGCGATGCTGGTCTCTAGAGTGCGGGACTTGGCATCCGCTTCTTCCCAGTAGAGTGTAGGCCCTTCGGGGTGATGGATTATGACTGTTACTCTCTTTATAATTCCCCAGTGTCCAGTCTGGTGCTGCTCTGTGCCTAGCAGCTGTTCAGTCAACACCACCAGCGACATAAACCCAGTCCTCAGCACTGGGAAAATGCCCATATTCACTGTTAAAGGTTTGGGGGTTGTTTTGATCCTAAAGATTTATTGGATTCCGTGTGTGTGTGTGAAAGAGACAGAGGGGGATGGATGCCTCGCGGTGGTGGGGGGACAGAAGGGACCACAGACAGGTCAGCGGCACCGGGTACAAGGCAGAGGCCCACGCGGGCCGGGCTGGAGGCAGACCCCGAGGCGCCGCTTCCGGGTATATTCATATGTCCATGTCTATTTCTAAATGATGGAGCAACATTCCGACTCAAGGCTTCATGGTTTCAGGTGCAGTATCACCTCCCCCAATACCGCTGCCAGGAGCACATGCTCCAGGACCGTCCACTCTTGGGACAAGTGTGCGGGCGCCGGGGCCCGACCACCTTGAGTGAAGCTGCCAGAGCTTCTCCTCCCAAAGCACAGACCCCTTCACGAGGCTGGGCATCCTTTCCAGGCCTGCCGACCTGTGAGCCTGGCCGCTGCCAGCCGACACCGCCCCGGAGGAGCCCTCAGACTGCCCTGCGGCCCGCCACAGATGAGAGGTGCCATGTGGCAGAGGGAGCCCCGAGCCAGAGGTGGGGGGTCGGACAGGCTGCACCGACTCCAGGGCCTCACGCTGGCCGGCTCTCCTCGGTGGCGGCAGAGAGGGGCGCGCCTCGTCTACGATGACGAATCCCTTCCTGGGTGTTAATTCTTTCAAAACTGGCTGGCTCTCCAACACGCGGCGGGAGTGGGTCCCGCTGCTCCAGCTGGGCCGCAGAGCACACGGATCCGCCGTCTCGAGCCTGGCTGGCCCATCGTGCGGGGGCCCCACACCGGTGACCCCCGGCTCTCGGCAGGTCTGGGGGGGCTCTCACCGGTGGCTCCACCGGTCGCTGGGGGCCGTGTGGGGACAGCGGAGCTGGGACAATGGTTTACACACACAGGGTGCCCAGGGGCTCTGGGTCGTGACCCTGGGGTCTGGGGTGCCTGTGCCCCCCGCTGCCGCCCTCCTGCCCGGGCTCTCCCGCTCTCCCGCACAATCTCTCAAACACACAGACTCTTTAAACGCACCCACAACAGAGCCCGGAGAAAGGCCTCCATGGCCTTCCGGGCCTGTGCCGCCTGGGTTCCCCGGGGTCACGGCCCCCCGCAGGGACGGGGACGCCCCCAGCTCGCTGCCTGCGCCTCTGCCCTCTGCCCCGACACGCGGGTCTGTCTTACTGTGTTCACGGCGTCCTCGGAGGCTCCACGAGCAGCTCTGCGAGCTCCAAACACCACTCGTCACAAGGTGACCGCTTGAAAAACCTTTAACCCGGACCTGATGAGGCCTTAAAGCAGGCGTCTCAGACCGACGGAGTCCGACCCATGACACCGACCCCGAGCCCAGCTCCGGCTCCGGGGCAGGAGGCCCCCAGGCCCCGAGGAGCCGCTATGCCCACGGCCCTGCTCGGCTCCGCCTGCGCCCTGGGCCGGGGGGGCCTACCCTGGGGGTCAGGGTCCCCGGGGCGGGGGGCAGGTGACAGGCCGGCCGCGCAGCCGAGTCTGAGCCACGGACCTGACACGGGGTGACTTCCGAGCACGAGCTAAGGCCTGTGCAGCGTTTAGAGGAGGGAGGCCAGCGGCCCGGCTCCAGGCTCATCGCCACAGCCCAGCCGAAACCGCACAGAAAGCGGGAGACGCCCGGACGCAACAACGACACGAGGGCTGAGACTAACGACGCCGTGGTACACTGTTTCCACGTAGCACGGAGAAAATTGGTTTTTGAGGACGTTTCACTTCTTTTGGCAATAGTTTGCCACTTAACCTTTGCTGCTGGGAACTTGGCTCTTGATCCCCTTGAGGCGGGGTTTCCGGCTGGTCCTAGGTGCTGCCTCTGCCGGGACCCATGGGACCCGTGGGACCAGTGCGCACAGGCAGCGAGAGCGAAGGCTGCCCCTAACTCTCGGCCCTTCCCTCCCTTTGAAACGCCCACTTCCTCAGGCCCGAGACTCACCCGCCCAGGCCCCAAGGTGTGTTACCTTCCAGAGCAAGGCACCGGGGTGGGCTGGATGACCAGAGGAGGCTGTGCAAGCACTCGAGGGACTCGGCCCCCTCCAGCTTGAATCCGGGGAAGCAGTGGTAGGAGATGACCGTCCCTACCGGGAAGGAGGTCTGCAAGTCGGAGACGTTCACGTAGCCATTGGAAGAGGCCAGGGGTCTCAGGCAGCCTGTGGGGGGAGAGGAGGGGCCGTCCGACTGGGTCACCGCTGTGCCCAGACGCCCTGGCCTTGTGGTCGCCCTGCTTGGCTCAGCACGCGACACCCCGTCTGCCTCCCGTTCCATCACGATGCACATATTTGCTCTCCTGCTTGCAAACCTTGCAAGCTGCACGGAGCCTGGGGGTCAGGAGGGAGAGCGTAGCTAGGATCTAAGATCTAGGATCTTGGACGTGAGAGCCCTGGCCAGGGGCTGCAGCCTCCAGTCAGCCTAGAATCACCCCGGGCTCCGCACCCACCTGGGCTCCCTGCCGTCCCTAAAGCCCTGCAGGAGCTGGTGCCCCCGGAGAACCACGTGTGAGCGACACAGGCAGAAGGCCCTGCCCCTCCAGACACGCGGGCGGCACCGGGGGTCTAAGCACCAAGCGCCCCGTGAGGCAGTCAGTGCTCGGGTGCAGCATCTGCATCGGGGAGGCCCAAAAGCCACCCAGACCACCCATGCGGAGGGTGAACATGGGAGGCACATGACCACGTCCCGTCTCCACAGTCCTAAGTCTAACCTCAGGGCTCAACACTGACCGTGTTCGTGGCAAAAGCGAAGTGTCGGGGAGCAGAGGGAGACTGGGAGGGCAGAACCCACAACTGGAAAACACAGGGAGTGCATCGGAGCCCCCGAGCACCTCTCCACTGAGCGGGACCAAGGTTCTCGGCCCCCCACACGGGGAAGCTGGCTCCCCCTGAATAAAATCGTCTGGCCCGCGGTGGAGAACCGCTCCCCAAAACACCAGGTGCCCCAGACAGTGGCCCCGAACAGCACCAGCCCCCACCGCCGCCCCAAGGAGTCGGGCGGTCATCCCTCGGGCAGCAAGTCAGACAAGGGAGGATGCTCGTTGGCGGGAGACAGTCCGACCCAAACACAGCAGCGGAAAAGTGTCCCCGTGATTCCTATTTGCACCTCGAGGCGATGGAGAGCCAGCGCCTCGGTCTCCAGCCCCGGATCTGCGGGTGCCTCGGGACGAGGTGTCAATTGAAGGTTCGCGAAGTCAGCCGCCAGGCCTCAGGCCCGTGCTGGGCAGGGTGGGCGGCCAGACCTGGGGACAGGGTGCGGGCCGGGGCCGCGGCCGTGGGGGCAGAGGGCCCGAGGGGGCAGGAGGTGGCTGTGGGCTGCAGGCCCCGGCTGTTCGGTGACACTCTGAGGTCCGAGTGCGGGGTGCGGCGGGAAGGCCACGGGGACCCGGAGGAAGGCACCGCATCGGGCATCTGTCACAGAATAACTGGGACAGATGAGCCCGCAGAGACCGAGGAGGACGGGCTCGGAGGGGACGGGGGCGTCCCGGGAAGTGCCCCTGAGTGTCGTGCACTCTGAAGGGCGGCCTGTTGCAGGCCACACGCCTGGCACGGATGCTTTCCGCAGAGAGGCGCGCAGGTGGGGGCCCCTGGGCACCCTCCGTCCTCCCCGCCCGGGCCTTGGTTTCGGCAAAGCGGCCACGAGGCCCGAGTCCTCACAGGACGAAGTAACTCACTGCCCACAGCAGGGCCGCACGGCAACCCCGGCGCCCATCAGCCTTCCCCACGGAGCCCGCCTGCGCCCCGGAAGCCCCCTGCCCTCCGCTGCCCTCCCCTGCCCTCCCCCGCCCGCCGCAGCACTTATGCCCCAGCTGCTGGCTCCTCCGTCCGAGCCCTGCGTCAAAAAACAAAACCAGAATCAGCGGGAATGCGAGGACCTCTTTCCACACATAGGCCCTCCGTTGGCCCAGGCAAGTTTTAAAAACGCAAGAGGATGAGTATTCTCGGGGCGGTTTGGATAAAATCTGAAGTTGATCCTTTCCCTGCTCCTCATGCATTGTAAAAAGGGAAAACGTTATTAGGGAAAGCTCAGCCTCCGTGGGACCGACCTTAAACGTGTGGCCGAAATAAGTATAAATAAGTATAAACGCGCTGTTATTTGCGTTGCACATGCAGTGCTCGTCAACGTGCCCGCCGCCTGGCTGCCGGACGCCTCCTTCTGAGACCCCATCTGGTTTCCTAGCGTGAAGGAGGCCCTGACACGCTGAGCCCGGGGTTGCGGCTTCTGCAGCCTGACGGGCGTGTGGGGTGAGCCCTGCGTCCCCCCCGAGGTCCCAGGAGAGCAAGCTCCAGCTCACGCCCCCGCCCCCACCTTGACAGAGGGGCAGGTTGTCCCACGTCCCGTCATCACGACACAAGGAAACCATGTTGTACGGGTCGGGGTAACGGATCCTGAACCCCTCGTGACAGGCGACCGTCAGCGTGTCCCTGCGTCTGTAGGTCTTGTTACGGATCTCTGCATCTTCGATCTGAGGGACACGGCAATCTGCAATTGTGTAAGAGGGACACGTTAGTTTCTAAATTTATTTTTATTATTTTTTTAATGATTTTATTTACTTATTCATGAGAGACACAGAGAGAGAGAGAGGCAGAGACCCAGGCAGAGGGAGAAGCAGGCTCCATGCAGGGAGCCTGACGTGGGACTCGATCCTGGGACCCCAGGGTCACACCCTGGACCAAAGGTGGTGCTAAACCGCTGAGCCCCCCGGGGACCCCCTAGTTTTTAAATTTAAACTAGAACCCGGTCGTGGTTCAGAGCCTGACAGGAAGGCCTCATGGTCAGAGCTGGCCTCAGGCTACCCCGTGTCCGCGTGCCCCACTCACGGCTGTGCTCCGGTCCCAGGACCAGCGGCAGCACCTGCTTCACGGGGACAGAGGAAAGGGGTTTCTGGGGAGACCGGGTGCCCGGATCCAGCCATGAACGGAACTTGACCGCCAGCCCCCACACTTCACACCCCAAGGCTGATCTTCGGGCGACTGTGGGACTAGGTGCAGAGGGAGCCCGTGGGGGCCGCCCACCGCCTCTGCCTCGGGGCGGGAGGAATGTGCTCGTGGAGCAGAGAGGCCCGCGGGCCTGCACCCCCCCTTCCCCGAGCCCCCAACTCCAGCACGTGGTTGGTAAAGTCTCGGTGGGAGCCTCGGCCCTGGAGCTCCCCAAACCCTGGCTTGTCGCTTCAAGCCTGAGCAGCAGATGGAAGGTGCCGCGGCCGCCTGTGCTCAAGGATGCACACCCCGTCCCGGGGGCTCCGATGCAGGGCTGCAGCTGGGTTGGCTGGAGCCACAAAGGAACCCGACAACGGCTCCAGAAAACGGGTGTCAGCAGCGGGAAGCCTGGGGCTTCCGGGCACATCTTGATATTTTTCAGTAGCGCTGGGCAGGGGTTAATCGCAGCAAATAAGAACACGGTTCCCAGGGCACCCTTCTGTAACACCCTGGCTGTACATGGGCCACGTGGCCGCACCGGTTCCGTGGTCGACTTGTCCAGACCCAACCCAGGTCCTGGGGGGTGGGGCGGGTAGCCCGGGGCAGGGGGCAGGTAGTGGACGGAGGGGACGGCCGGACACCGAGCGGGGAGGAAGCGCCTGCCTGGGGAGGTGGCTCCTCTGCACGGCGGCCGCCCACGTGGATGCCCCAAACCCCCGACCAGATGCCTGTGTCCACGGCGGCCACATGACAGCAGGGGCCCAGGCCACCGCACCTCCCTCCACGGGGACCGGAACACGCCAACGGGCAGCTGGAGCTCTGGCCGCGAGGCCAGCGGGGCTGTGCCCGGGAAAAGGACAGGACCCAACTCCGTGGAACAAGCAGGCTGGCCCGGAGCCAGGCTCGGACTGTTGCCACCGTGTCTGGCGCCTGAGCCCCGACGGCGGAGCCAAGGAGCAGGGCCCCCCCCCCGGAGCGCCCCGGGACGTGACTGCAGCCTCACTGTATGGAAACAGGGAAGCCAGAACTTTCAGTGCCCAAATGAACACGTGACCTTCGTCCACTCTGAAGTCTCACACAGACATAACACAAATCTAGGCATCTAGGCTGACGTGCGTCCGGCCAGCAGCAAGGATTTTTAAATTCTTTCCAGCCAATGCAGGAACGCCGCCGCCGAGGGCTACGAACAGAGGTGCCGGTGTCCGACTGTGCGGGTAGTGCGGCCAGAGGTGACACCGCACGTAGACGGGCACACACGGGCACTGGGGGCTGCGCCTGAGGGACCACACCCCTCCCTCTAGGGATTCCCCCCATCGTTGCTCCTGAGTCCTGCTTTTTAACAGGGGATTTAGTATAATTAGTGACAGAGGGGATGTTAGGGCACAAGCACACGTCTACACCGAAGAACAAGCTAACTGATCACACTAGTCAGCCCGGAGCAGGGTCCCAGGAATAGAGCAGAGATGGTTTTAAAACCACGTGCCACGTACCCACCAGGTTTACTTTGCTTTTCAAGAGTCAGTTATACATGAAAACAAATCTGATTTCCTGGAAGTGCCAACTTCCGCCATCAATCCTCCCTAAAACGTGTTTCCAGGAGCATGAGCACGTATTACACACTCGGGGCTCAGCACTCATGTCTACACGGTCAGGGCCCTGGAAGCCTTGCTGTGAAGAATTCTGCGGCATTCGGTTTCCACCTACATCTACAAAGCTCGTTATCCCCTGTCCACCCGTCTGTCCCTCTGCCCCTGAGCTGCTGAGCACACAGCTTAAGTATGAGACGTGCTGGGCACTGGGCATGGTCAGGAATCACGCCCTTGCCACGCTGCGTGGAGGGCCACCCACAGTCAGCAGGTGTGTGAGCTGACAGTCACACGGCACGAGGGATGCTCTGGGAGCAGTGCATGGCCACCAGACTGACCAAGGGGATGTGGGCCTGAGGAGATGGCATCGATTACGCTGAGCCCAACAGCAAGGCCTCCTGTAGATCTGGGAGGAGGCAGCTGTGCTCAGAGGGAGAGGGAGAGGGGAGAGGGAAAGGGGAGAGGGGAGAGGGAGAGGGGAGAAGGGAGAGGGCAGAGGGGAGAGGGTGAGGGAGGGGGAGAGGGGAGGGGGAGAGGGCAGAGGGAAAGGGGAGAGGGAGAGGGGAGGGGGAGAAGGGAGAGGGCAGAGGGAGAATGAGAGGGCAGAGGAGAGGGGGAGAAGGGAGAGGGCAGAGGGAGAGGGGGGAGGGAAAGGGGAGAGGGAGAGGGAGGGGGAGAGGGAGAGGGGAGTAGGGAGAGGGGAGGGGGGAGGGAGGGGGAGACGGGAGAGGGCAGAGGGGAGAGGGTGAGGGAGGGGGAGAGGGGAGGGGGAGAGGGCAGAGGGAGAGGGGAGGGGGAGAGGGCAGAGGGAAAGGGGAGAGGGAGAGGGGAGAAGGGAGAGGGGAGGGGGGAGAGGGAGAATGAGAGGGCAGAGGAGAGAGGGAGAGGGGAGAGGGAAAGGGGAGAGGGAGGGGGAGAGGGAGAGGGGAGAAGGGAGAGGGGAGGGGGGAGAGGGAGAATGAGAGGGCAGATGAGAGGGGGAGAGAGAGAGGGAGGGGGAGAGGGGAGAAGGGAGAAGGGAGACGGGAGAGGGCAGAGGGGAGAGGGCAGAGGGAGGGGGAGAGGGGAGGGGGAGAGGGGAGGGGGAGAGGGGAGAGGGAGAGGAGAGTAGGGAGAGGGGAGACCGAGAGGGCGACAGGTGGTGCAAAGGCCAGGGCACAGTAAGTGTCCAAGATACAATGAGCATGGGGGCAGGGGGATGGACACGCGCACGGCCAGATCACACTGGGCCCTGTAGACCCGGGCGGGGGATTTGGGCCCGACTCCCACGTGATGCAGCACGAGCAGCTTTTTACGCAGGGGATGGGACATGACTGGCTTATGTCCGGGAGGAGTTTGTGTTTTGTTATTTTAAGTACTTCTTTTTATATTTAGTCCGTGGAGAGGAATTCCTTGTGGGTTCTCAGCTGTTCTCTCTTTTAAGCAAAACATTCACAAAAATCGATCAGCCTTGGGCTACAAACACTGAATCACAGAGCACATTTTCTGACCGCAGGGAAATTCAGATGCGAATGAGTAACAAAAAATACCCCCCATGTCTGGAAACTAATCCCTTCGTATGTAACCTGCGCGTCTAAGAGGCGACAGTGATAAATATATATAGTGAACGGAGAAGAGTGAAGATGCCGCAGCTCAGATCGTCCCTCAAACTACAGATTCAGGTGTTAGAAGAAAAGTAGCTGAGAATCCAGCGGTTGGTCAGGTCAAGTTTGCTAATAAGGTTGCTTGGAGTTTCTCTGCATCCGGGTTGGTTTTTCCTGACTGTCCTCGAAACCCCAGGAGAGCAGTGTTTCTGGCACCCGCTGTGACTGTGGACTTGTCCTTAAAGTTCTGTTAATTCTTCCTTTTCACACATCCTGGTGTGTCATTAGATACACGTGAATACTGAGGCTCCTCCCAGAAATGTTAGACAAAGGACAGTTAATGAAACACAATGAAAGTACCGGAAAGAAAATAATAAATAAAAGAGGAAGCATTAATGAAAACAAGGAAACGTAGGTCAGAGATGATAACAAACCCAGAAGCTTGTTCTTTGAAATCATTAAAACTGATTCCCCGGCAGGTGAAAGTGACCGCAAAACGAAGGTGGATGCCACATGGGCCGTGAGCGTGAGGGACGCTGCTACAAATCCTGTATTAACAAAATACGACGTTACAACAAACTCCAGGCCAAAAACTCACAAATGAAAAATCAAACAAACAAACAAAAAAAAAACACTGTACAATTTACCAAAACTGACACAAGAAGAAGCAGAAAGCAGTTACAATCCTACAAATATTAAATGAGTCGAATTCAAAACGAAAACATTCTTGCCAAGAAAACTCCAGGCCTAGTGGCTTCCCCATGAACGCCACCAAACATTTAAGGAGGAAATCGCTCCCGTCGCACACGGACACTCGGGGTTGCTTGGTGACCACGGCATGACCGACTGTGAAACAAAGACTGAGCCAATCCGTCCCATCAACATAGGGGCGTGTGTATGAATATTGGCAGATACAATCCAGCAACACATTAAAAAAGAAAACACGTCACGAGTAAGTTGGGCTTATTGGATGGTGATTGACTCAACATTGACAGCCAACCTGTGTCACTACAGGGACAGAATAGAGGGGAAACACGGAATTGTCTCGATACGTGAAAAAGCATTTCATAAGTTTCAACATGCATTCAGGATACATTTTTAAAGATTTTATTTATTCATCCATGAGACGCCTAGGGAGAGGCAGGGACACAGGCAGAGGGAGAGGCAGGCTCCGTGCAGGGAGCCTGATGTGGGACTCGATCCCGGGACCCCGGGGTCATGCCCTGGGCTGAAAGCAGACGCTCAACCACCAAGCCACCCAGACGTCCCACATTCATGATATTTTTTTAAAAACCCTCTTAGCTGATCATCAGGGAGCCACAGGTCAAAACCACAATGAGGCACCTGTCAGGAGGGCGAAAATGAACAAGTGAGGAGCCGAGATGTTGGCGAGG